TGGGAGGGTTCTATTATTAAATTTAAAACCTGGCTATATAAGATGAAGGCAGCTTTAACGAGATGAAAAGGCTTAACTGGAGTCCAATTAAATTCCGTATTACCTGTTTACGCAGCCTGCTTAAGTCCTGACCCGCACGCTGGTTTCTTCTTTAGGCTCCAAAGCCTGGGCTCTAGGCAAAAAAATAAAATCAAAGGAGACAGATAGATACCAGATCACCAGCATGTCCTGAGCACCCCTGCGTGCTCCTACCATAGGTAGCTGCCCTCAAGTCTTGTGCTGCTCCCACAGTGGCTGCAAGGTGTGAGATGCAGCCAAAATTCTCTGGTCCGCTCTTCTGGTGACGAGTGAGGACAAAAACAGCTGGAGCTCAAAAAGGAAATACCCAGCCATCCTTAGTTTGATTTTAGGTCTGCGACATGAAGATAATTTTGCTCTTCCCATCTCCTTCTGGGCTGATGGAGGCTATGCCTGGCCAAGCAGTCAGTGCTAGTGGTGCTTCACATGAATGGAGCATCCTCTCTGCTGCCTGGCAGTGCCTTGCACCACTCTTGGCATGTTATTTTTATTAAAAATAAATGTTTGGTGAAAGCCAGCATGGGATCCTGGGGCAAGCTGCACACCTGGTGCAGTGGAGACACCAGCTTACATTTAATGGCAGAGTTACTACCACCAGTTGGAACCTGTTCTTCATAGGTGGTAAATAGGAACCACTGCTTGTGTTGGTGAAGCATGGCAGGTTTGGGTGGATGGTGAGCTGGGGCTTGGCTGGTGCCCTGCCACCACTGCCTCACCATGACACTGAGAGCCTTGCAGGATGGGGTGCAGTGCCTTAGCCCACCTTCAGGCTGCTCTTCAAGGTCCACAAATGGGGACGAGGAGGACGAATCCCTTCCAGCAGCCCCATATGTGGACAACACATCCAGAAAACTTCCCAAGCCCTCTCTTGTAGGGTGCTGCCTTTTATTAGTCAGGTACCTGGGAGCTGGGAGCTGCAACATTCTGGCAGTGGAGGTGATTTCAACCCACCTGCTCTGGTTTTGTAAATCCAGCCCCCAAAACCCTGTTGGGGCCTCGGTGGTGCCTCAGGGCTGCTCTGGGGCAGAGCAGGGCGGGGGGCAGGAAACGCTCGCCGCACCCTGCTCACAGCAAACCCTCACGCCCTGCAAAGACCTCAACCCTGCAGTAAAGAAAGTCAATAAATAAAACCAGACCACAGCTCCTCCCAGGGCTGTGGGACAGCGGAGGTGAGTTGTGTTCCCAGCTCAGCCAGCCTGGCAAAGCAAATTTGGGTGACGCCAAAGTGCTGGTGGGGATGCTCCAGAGGGCAGCCACACCAGTGCTTCTTCCCTGCTGCTCTTCAGCACAGTTAATACAGCAGAATAACCTGCTTTCTCCTGAAGGATTAGGTTAAGAAAACAAGATGGCTTTAATAGCCCTTTTACATCCTGCATAGATTGTAGCTGAAGACCCCTAACTAGCTTTGTGGCACAGCCAGACAGCACATCTTTTCCTTTTTTCCCTTTTTTTCCCTCCATAACCTGATGCCAGTGGTCCTGCACAAGTGAGCTCCTATCGCTAATTCAAGTGCCCAGCTCCTGGCTGTGCTGTTTTGTCCGATTTCCATTGCCTCCTGACCTCCATCCTTCTTTATTTGCAAAGCTATACTCGCAGGCAGCGGTAATAAATCAATTAATGACTCTGATGAATCGTTTAATGGCTGACAAAATAACACTACAGTCAACAGCTTGGATCTCTACAGCAGTACCAGAAGATGCTGGTTGACTCAGGGTAGGGAGACGAAACAGAGACTGTTAGCTCAATTAGTGCAATTAGTGTGCGATTTAAAGGCTTAGACGGCATCTGCTGGCGTACCAGGCCGGTGTGTTAACTGAGAGCTTGGGTTTGGAAGCGAAACACGATGATCCAGATTGTCATTCCACTGGCTTCCACCAAAAAAAAGGAGGAAAAATACCAACGTATGTGGCAGGGAATTAAAAATACATATGTGTGTTTGTGTATATAGCTGTACATGTGCGCCCCAGGAACACATATATATTGATTTCCAACGTGGGGAAAATTTGCCATCTTAAAAAAGGCAAATGAGCTGGCATGCCAGCATTGCCAGAGCTGTCCTGGCTCATTTCTGGCAGTGGTTTCTGTGGGTTTCAGTAGAAGGAAATTCAGGGTGTCACATGCCATTGGGGGCCTCCGTGTGGCTGATGTGCTTCTGGTTCAGCTTCAGCCTGGTTGTGGTGGCACAGCAGTTCCGTGCCCATTTTCTGCCAGCTTCCATGGCAACTGCACATTGTCTGTACCTTCACCAGGGAGATTCAATGGGTTTTAGATACTCACCTAAGGAAAGAACTTTGGAAAGCAAACTGCAACCAAAAGTCCCTAAAAAGAATTTCTGGGACAAAATGTTGAAAATAAACAATGTGGGAGGAGCTTTGTGGCCAAAAAAGTCCTGGAAGTGGGTGCTGGAAAGCCTTTGGGTTTGGGTGCTGACCCTTAGGGTTTGGGTGCTCACCTTTAAGGTTTGGAAAAGTTGTTCTTGCTGTTTTTTTTTTTCCTTTTGTCTTTCATTGCTGGTACACCCAAGTGTTTTACAGAGCTGCTTCAGCCACGGCTGCACTCCCATTGCTTTGCCAGGGCTAAAGGTACCTCAGTGTTTACCTTAGCAGCGGTGATGGGGAGGGGAATAAGAAAAGAAATAAAATGTCACTTCGCAGCCTTGTAAATCATTCATCAAGGGCTGACCAATTTGGCTCCCATCCTACAATATGCTCAGGGCACTTGCGGGTTTTTAATTACCAAGTTCTGCCAAGCGCCACATGTGCGAGGAACTTTAAATCCCCGTTTACGCTGCGAAGGCATAGGTGAGGTTTCAGGGTGTTTAACACGGAAAAATACTCTGTGGTTTTGTGGAAAAATGGGCATTGGCTTCAAGATTTTCTTTGGCTCCTCTGCCCTTCTCTCTCTGCTCCCTCTTGCAGAGGGGAGGAGAAGAGCAGCGTCCTTTTCCCCCAGATCCCCAAATCCGTGTTCCTCCTCACTCCCCACCACTTCGGGATCCATTTCGCTTCGGGAGATTCCCCAAGCAACGGATTATAGTGTGCTGGAAATCTCTTGAAACCATAAAATATCACCTTGGCAGCTTTATTGCAGCGCTTGCCGCCTTGGGAGAGAAGCGTTTTGCGTGATAGAGGGTTTAATAAAGGAAATTCCAAATGGGCTCGCTGCAGTTTGGGGCTCAGTCTTATATATTTTTGCATTAAGAACCGTCATCTGCTTTGCAGAGAAACTGCAATATGTTCATGGCCTTGGATTAAGATTTGGTTTTACTTTTATAGCTGACCCACTTGGGGGAATGGAGGGAGGGGGAGAAGTGGGTTCACTCCCTCTCCCATCTATTTTTGCTGCCGTCTGATGTATAAAAAGAGCCTGGAATGGGCAGGCTTATTTTTCCTGCCAGGACTTTTTTTTTTTATTAACTGTAAAAACACTCAGATCTGGCCTTTGCTGCTGATGGAGGGAAGGCTGTTCGGGATGCCTTGTTCAGGGGCACAGGGAAGCGTGGTGAGGGCTGTGCCTGGGGGTTCAGGACCCCTGTAGCCTCTGGGGGAATTGGTTATTTCAGAAAGGGAGGCTCTTACTGGGGAATCAGCCCCCACTGTTGTCTGTGACACTTACAGCTCTGAGATGCTAGGATGGGAAAACCAACCACTCTTCCAGCATGATCTTGGCCTTCATCCCACATCCTGCACACCAGTTCCTGCTGGAGAGCACGACGAGGGGCACAAGGGATGCCCTGGGAAGGCACAAGGCAGTGATTAGTCTGGTGCTCCCCTGCCTCTGCAAGGCTTTCTGGTCAGGAATAGCAATATTGCCGACCAAACATGGGGATCCTATCTTGGCAATCCTTAGTCCTTAGTAATCATCCTTAATTTTCCAGGCTATCCTGACAGCCTGGCTTCCCCCTCTGCTCACATCTTGTGGTTGTTGCTGCATCGGATGCGGTCGGGAGCAGGGGCTGGCTCGGCTGCTGTTGGGATGTGGGGTTTGTTGGGTAAAACCAAGCCTGAGCAGGCTCACATGTACCCCATCTGTTCATGGGATTTCCTCAGTGGAAAAATTTTCCACTATGGTTTTAGGTGGGTACGTCCATCATAAAAGTTGGTGGAGGGAGTAGTTCAGCAATGCAAATCCAATTAACACCACTGAGGTGCCTTTATAATTGTCCTGTAAATGGAAGGGGGGTCTCTTGATGGTGGGCAAACTGGGGTGCACTTGGATGGCACAGGTACTGCTCATAATCTCAACGGGTTGTGTCACCAGCAGTGGCTTTTAGATCAAGATCTTTCTCTTATGTTTTCCTTCGGAGTAGGAGCTTCCCATCATACTGGTGCTTTCCCAAAGGAAGTGAATAAATACAAATAGAGATGCTGAGATGAACAAGTGGGGTGTCCAGGTACCCCACATCTGTCCCTGTCCCTCCTTTTTGGAGCTGTGCTGGTGGCTCATTCTGGGGAAGCACGAGGGGGAATGTGGAACTCCACAGGTTGAATGCAGTGAACTTGGTAATTAATAATAAAGCCTTGGCGTGCTGGTGAGGTCAGGGAAGTGTAATTTTTGAAGGACAGGGCTAAACCAGTAAGCGTGGTGGGGAGGTGGGAGAGAAACATTTTGAAAGCTTTCAAACAGCTTCTGCCTAAAATTACACGTCAGATGAGGCTCCTTGGTGGATTACTGCCTGGGTAAATGAATAAACAGACCCCAGAATCATCTCCAGGTTCTGTGTGGCCATCTCCTCCGTGGGTGAACCACAGAAGCCAGTGCCCCTCCAGCTGTGAGCATCCTCCACCAGTTCCTCCACGGGGGAAGGTGCTCAGGAGACACGAGGCAGACTGACTCAGTGTGATGTGGCAGGAGAAGGTGGCATTTTTGACGTGCTTTTGTCGTAACTCTGACCATGTTTGCCCTGGTTTTGTTCCCTGCAGAGCGCAGCTGCTGCCCCGAGTCCCGTGCTTGGAAACATTCCCCCGAATGACGGGATGCCCGGGGGCCCCATCCCACCCGGCTTCTTCCAGGTAGGCTCCTCCCGCTGCTCCCTGCACACCGTGCACGTGTTTGCTTTGCTCTGGGTGTCAGCGCTGCCCTGCCTGTGTTGTTGGTTTTTTTTTCCCCCAAGAGGATGCTAGGAAAGCAGCATGCCTGCACAGCTGACCTGTCTAGGAATAACTTGTGTTCTGCTGTCCTTCCACGTTTGCTTTCTGTCTTTTGTGGCCTTAAAGCAAATTCCTTTCTTGCTCGAAGAGGTTACTGTGTATTTACAACCAATGTTTTTTTTCCAAAGCTGCTTGGTTTGTGTTTGGGTTGGGATTGTATTTGTTCTCCAGTCCTAACAGACGTGTGTAATTGAAAACATTCTGGGTTTTGATTCCTGAAACTTTTTCCCCCTCCTCTGGTTAACCACTTGATTTTTTCCAAATGCAATCACTGAATGCATTAACAAACCCTGGCTGCGGCTGCAGGCAGGAGTGGGCTCCAGCCAAATCCCTGAATGCCATGGAGGCACCTTGTAAGCAAATAGTCCCCAAAGTCCCCTCACTCCTTCCTTATCCCACAACAGGCTATGACAGAGGAGGGGGTAATGTATTCGGAGTGACACTGACAGAAATGATATCAACAAGCACAAAGAAAAGGAGTTTTCAAACCTTAAACCTTGGGGTTTTCTCAGGAATCTCTTTGCCCATGCAGTGCAGTGAGCTGCACTGGTTTGCAGCAACATAAGCTTTTGGTGCTTTAAAATCCTCCTGCTTGAGGACGAAACACTTGCTTGTGTAAAAAATGGGATAAGAGTTGAAAGGAATATTTGTTTTGGCAAGCTGGGCTTTTTTTAATCTGAGCTTGTGATTTGTATATGGGAGAACCTCTCGGGCAGTAGACAGGCGAGCTCGATAAGGAGCTTGTGATTTATTGTGGCGATATCTGAGCCCGATATCGGCGATTGCGTTTGTGTGGGAAGGGGGAAGGAGGGTCCTGTCTTTTTTTGAGAGAGAGAAAGAGAGATCCCATTTCCTGAACATGCTTCTGACAAAGTGAGAATATCCGATATTGATCGGGAACCCTAAAACAGGCGAATCTTGTAGCAGCGCTCGGCGGCAGGGGGTGAAGCCAACGGTGGAGATGCAATCTCGCAGGTCAGAGCTGCTGCCAGCAATCCGAGTGCCAAGCTGCTGCTTCCAACAAATGTGTCTCCAAAACGTCCTGATCTCGCCCCGCGGTGAAGCTGACTGTCCTTTGGGGCTTCTGCTTCACGCCGAGCTGCGAGGGCTGCAAAACTGGCATGAATTTAGGGCAAGGCATTGAGAGTATGGGTTTGGCTTTCCCAGAGTGGGAAAGGTGAGGAAGAGGAGTCACATCTCTCCAGACTTACTGTTCATGCTGCCATCTCGACTCTTCCCGTTGACAGCCTCCAAGCTGTCCCACCTCTTTCCTTTCTGCCCTCCTATAGCAAGCAACCCATCCTAGCTCCCTGCTTCCCGTGCAGCTGGCCCAGGAGCTGCTGGGGAACGGGGTGGCTCAGAAGCAGGAGTGGATCCTGAAACCCCAGACAATGTAGTAACACCAGTACAGGTTATGCTGCCCATCCCCAGTACTGCCAGAGGGAAGAGAGAATGGGTGCATATGGCTCACATGTGACATCTCAAGGGCCTGCCTTTCCTGAAAGACCTCCAACATCTGGTTTCTCCTCCCAGCCCTTGGGATGGAAAGCAGAAGAAAAATCCCACCTTTTAACACAGTCTGAACATCGCCCCCATGAAAGCCTGTCTGATTTATTGCAAGTGCTGGAGCTCATTCCAGCTTCAGGAGATGCTGGAGAGCAGCTCTTTCAGAGGTGGGCTGGAGGCTCAGTGTCGAGCCAGCCACAGCTCAGGGGTAGTTTCCTATCTGTAGGAGATTAAAGTGCCTAAATTCAGAGGGCAAAAACAAAAAGGTCACAGAAGATAGAAAGGACTTCTCCCCAACCCTTGGTATGCCAGTCCTGGGAGTGAGTGAGGTGGTACCACCTCATCTAGTGCCATCCTCATGCCAGGAGAGTGCTGGAGAGGGCTCAGGGGTTTTCAGCATCTTGCTGTTCTGCACCAGGGACCTGCAAGGGATATCCCCAAGGGTAGCAGGCATGGGCAGATAGTTTTTGAGAGGAATTAGAGAGCCTGATCATGTCCAGACATGGTGGGGAGTCGCACAGGGAGCTGAGGAATGAGTCACCAGCAAAGCTCAGGTAGCAGAAACTCTGCACTGCTACCCTGGGGGTGCATGAACCTCCCCAGCCCTGCATGTGAGGATGTCCACCACAGGTTGGCAAAGGGAAAAAAATGATACGGACCATTCCTGGGACTTTGTAGCCCAAACACATGTGAGTGAGCTTGGAGTAGAAGAAATGCTCCAGGAAAGGGAGAAACAAGGAGGACTCCAGGCTGCAGTGCCCGTCCACAGCCACTGTCTTGCAGTGAGAGTCCCTTCCAGTGCCAGGGCTCAGCAGCGACCTTCAGGCCGGGGAAGTGCAGAATCTCCTAAAATGCTGGGAAAGGAGAAGCCAGTGGCACTCTTGGGTCGCTGGGGCATTTCATGGTGCCAGCCAGCAGCACAGCATCGTCTGTGCTCCGGACAAAAGGTTGGCTGGGTTGACGGCCAGCATGGGTAGATGCTTTTATTTAAATCTCTCTCTTTGTCCCGTTGAGATGAGCAAACAAACCCTCTGCTCATCCTCCTAAAGGTCATCAGAGGCGTTCCTGCTTTTGTTTTGAAAGCTGGATTGATGCCGGGGTGCAGATCCCTCACAAGAGGGACTGAAGGGGGGGGGCGGTGTGCCAGAGAAACATAGGAAGGAAAACAAAAAATTGAAAGCAATTGATACCACACCTTTATACCACTAAATAAACGGGAGGGGCGAGTCAGCAGCCCCCCCAGCCATGCCTGCTGTCCCCAGCGCAGGGTCCCTGTACCCCGCGCTGATGAAATGGAAAGTTGACCATAAATCAATGTCGGCGCTGCGTTAGCTATGCATCAGCGGCTCGGCGCCGAGATGCACCAAAACAAAGCACCGGCTGCTCCGTGTTCCCACACTGCCCCCTAATGCAGACAGACCTCGGGAGCTGGGGAGGACGGGGGCTACAGAGCCTGGGGGGCTTCCCCCCACACATCCCCTGCCTTCCCCACCTCTCCTCCCCACGTCCTGGAGACCTCCCTCTTCGGGGGAGGATGCCCGTGGGGTGAGGATGGTGAAGCGAGGGACAATAGGAAGGGGTCCATGTTGTCCTGCTCCATCCTTGGATGCCACCATTTTCCCCCTGTTGTCCTGATGTCTCCGTGGGATTTCCCACAGCTTGGCAGGTGCCACCAGCTCCGGTCAGCCAGTTCCAGTGAGGCACCACGAGAGCCATAAAACCAGGCTGCTCTGGCCAAAATCCTGGGCTAGAACTTGGTACAGCCTGCGCCAACCAAGGTTGGAAGGAAGGTAGCCTAAAAGCTGGAGGAAAGGAAAAGCAAGCATCAGAGAAAGTTTTTTTTCTGGAAGTTTAGTAGGATGCCCGAGGCTTTTGTACCGAGCGTCTGGAGCATATGGTGGGATTTGCAGTCAACTTTCTCTCGGGTGCTCCAGCCAGATGGAGGTGACTGTTCTTGGCTCCGGCTGACACGGGTTTGTTTCCTGAAGAGCTTGTGTTAAACATATTCCTTAAAACCAGGCTTCTGCAGTTGGGAGCCCCAGCTGCAGGCGAGGCAGAGCTCCTGCCCACGACTGCCTTTCGCTGTCTGCGGGGGAACTTGGCCGGCCTCGCCTCACCTCGCCTTGCCTTGCCTTGCTGCCTTGCCTTGCCTTGCCTAACCTCGCCTTGCTTTGCCTTGCCTTGCTTTGCCTTGCCTTGCCTTGTCTAACCTCTCCTGGCCTCACCTTGCCCTGTCTCGGGAAGGTCCTCACCCAGCACCACATGCTGGAAGTCAACCGGGGTCTTTCTCTTTTGAAGGCAACTGGAGCGTCTCTCCTAAAGGCTCCTTGAGAGATACCTCTTTTTTTTTCTTGACAACTTGCAAGACATCTCTCTCCTTTAGTAGAAATAAATCTCCTCTCTAATAAACCCAGGCATGGCTTTAATTAATATCCATCTAATTTATTTTAGTATTTTCTAACGTCAAAACTGGCAGGCAGGGGCAGGTATTTTAAACACAAGATGCCTCCCTGTTGCTAACTCGAAACCATCGGTGTCTCATGGCAGTGATGCTTTGCCTTCTTCTACCATCCTGCCTTGTTCTGCCACCCCCAGAGGTGCTTGAAAATGTTTTTAAATAGCAAAACTCCCCCATTAGCTGAAAGTATGTAGCCCATAAAACATGATCCATTTGTGGTGAATTACGGTGGAAGCATAAATTGACACACACAGAGCTATGATCGCTCGTGCCATTTTCCATCTTTAATATTTTACAAGAAGTTTGTGGAGTCGAGCTCATGAAAGACAGAGTGGAAATAACCTGATCTCTTGGAAACTCCCTGTAGGAAGCAGCTGTGGCAGCAAACTTGGGCTGTCCTGCAGGCCAGGTTGGGCCTTTAAAGTCCCTGGAGTAGAGAGGAGAAAAAAAACGAAGCAGAGTGGAGGTTGGGGCACCAACAGCTGTTGGAAACAGTTTCCTCTATAACACCATTTTAGCTGTTGGGGTTGTTCCGGGTTTTTTGTTTTAGGCAGCTACAGGAAGATGAAGAATAGCCCCACATAAAGAGTGTCCAGTTTGGGGGGAAAAAAGAAAAAGTTGAGAGATTATGGGGTTTCTCTGGTTGGGGACTGTGCTGGCATGGAGATGAGAGTGAAGCAACTGCAGAGCAGGTCCTTCTCACCAAAGCCTGGTGTGTCAGAAGGAGCTGTGCCACAGGGATGCAACTTCTGGGCTGGATGGAGGGTTGTGGAAGAAGCAGGACAGCATGTGTTCAGCCTCCTCCTTTAACAGGAGTAGTTAATAACTGCTAAACACACGTTTTTTTAAGAAAAAAGGGATGTTTTGTTGGTTGGAGCCCACATGTCATCTCTGCAAAACACTTGTCTCAACTGCCATGATCCACTTGGATCATCTGCTGCTCCCTCTGCAGCGAGACAATCCCGTGCGAAAAGGCAGCCACTCCAACAGGGGTCCCAAGCCCTGAAACATCTGCAAATATTTATGGAGATAACACTATGCAGAGGGGCTGTGTTTCTGACAGAGCAGGGCAGCCGTGCCGAGGGGGCCGCAGCTTGGAGCAAACATTTTGGATGCCGCTGCACAGAAAAAGCAAGAAAAGAAGGAAAAATTTAAAAGCTGCTTTCAGCTCCTCCCTGCCTGCCAAAACGTTTGCACAAGCTGGGCATCACCTTATCCAGAAGTGTCCTCTGGGAGTGGTACCACATGGGATAGTGCAAGGGCAAGGATGCTGCAGCACCGAGCCTGGAGCATCCCAGGAGCAGCCTTGGTGTCGGGGCAGGATGTGCTCCAGAGGATGCACTCAGCAGCACAAACAAGGGATGCTCTCTGTGTCCAGCTGCCACAGGGGATTTTTCTCTGGTGGAAATGCTGCAGTGTCTCATAAATGCTTTTTATCCAGTGATCAAACAGTGTTTGTTCTCCAACTCAAAATGCAGACCCTAAGCATCACCTGCAGCCCAGCCAGGGTGCGTTCAGGTGGCCACGTCACCCCTGTGTTTGCTACCTGTTGGCCCCACACCCTCACCTGCTGTGGGATACAAGGGGAGGGACATCAGTACCTGGACAGCAGTGACCCCCTCCTGCAGCACAAGGCAGGCATCGTGGGGGACACTGGCTCTTGCATTGATGGGGCTTCAGGTTTGGCCTCTGCCAGCCCTGGTTTTTACCTTCAACTTTGTTTCATCACTCATTCACCTCTTCTGATCTTCCCTACCTAAATCCTGCAGCTGAGAGGTGTAGGAAGGGCTTTGGGGGTGGCCAGACCTTCCTGGTGGATGGTGGGAGGTGGCTGCTGCCCCTGCTGCACTTTGCAATCACAGACAGAATTAGCAACTCAGAAGCAAAAATAAGTCAACTTCCATGCCTGGAGAGGACTTCTGCTAAAGGAGGTTGATGCTGCAGTTGGACCTCAGAGGTTTGCCTTCTCTGCTCTGGTGGGACATGGATGGAGAAGGCAGTGTGGGGAGGGTTGTATTTTTTGAAGTGCTGTGACCTCGTCCAGATGAGGTTGGTCAGGAATTAAGGGTAGGGGCTGGTTCCTTTTGGCTCCTGAAGAATAAATAGTGGTGTAAGTGGTGGGATTTCAGCGACTGGAGCTGAGAGGCTGGCAGGAGGTTGTTGGTTTAAATCAGCTTGGCTCCATCTCGCCACCAAACCATTCAAATTTAAAAAAAAATAAAAAAAAAAAAAAAGAAGAAAAAAACCCACCCTCTTACTTTATTTACATTGCACTCAAGTTTCCGCCGTACAAAAGATTTGCAGGTGCAAATATGTCCTGCCTTCATTAACTTCCCCTCCCTTTTTAATTTATGTGATTTCAATTTTCCTTCCCTGTACTGTT